ATGTATTTTTAAATCCTTTGACTGAAACCCAGAATCCTTTTACCAGCTTAGAACACTGATAGTAATTCTATTACCACCGCAATAGCCATCCCTTTCTAATTCTCTAGACACAATTACTGTGCATCATGCAGAGTGAATACAAATCAGCAGAAGAAATAACCACTCCAAAAAAAGCGAAAGGAATCATGGATGGGAAAGTTCCTGCAGGGGATGCTCTTGTACTCTTTAACTTTAGCCAAACAAGTTTCAAAAAGAAAAAGAAAAGTGAAAGGAAACAAGGGGGAAATACCTATAAGAGTTCTATATATGATTTATTTTTATTTTTTTTACTTCTGCCCTTGGCAATTTATACAAAGACAATTAAAATTTTAATTAACACAGTTATCAGTATTTTTAACTGCACACAGCTAGTTGCCATTATAAAGATGGCAATCAAGAGTTATATCAAGTAAGGGGTTGATTGTGCTTCAATACGACAATAAGAGTTGTGATAAGGTTGCAAATTGCAAAGGAGCTCTCGCTCCGAAATGGAAGGATAGTTTTATTAAGCAACTTGGTCACCCTTTTCACCCAGCTGCACTGATGAATGAGCATGCTCCACAATGCAAACTCTACAGTGAACCTGAATGGAATTGCAAAGGCTAGGAATGGGAAGTGCAGCAGTAGCCTTGACCTCCTAGGAATCTGCACTATTAACTGTTTTTGGTTAATTTATGAGGTCAAAACATTTACCTGTACATATTCATTTATTTTGGACACTCCTAAGACATGTTTTAGCCAGATGCTCGAAATTACCGTATTTTTTGCTCTATAAGACTCACTTTTTCCCTCCTAAAAAGTAAGGGGAGATGTGTGTGCGTCTTATGGAGTGAATGCAGGCTGCGCAGCTATCACAGAAGCCAGAAGAGCAAGAGGGATTGCTGCTTTCACTGCGCAGCGATCCCTCTTGCTGTTCTGGCTTCTGAGATTCAGAATATTTTTTTTTCTTGTTTTCCTCCTCCAAAAACTAGGTGCGTCTTATGGTCTGGTGCGTCTTCTAGAGCGAAAAATACGGTAGGTAGCAAAATATGAGAATGAAATGGTAAACAACGCCATTGGTTAAAAGCAAAGCCAGACAACAAGATAGAAAATCCATTTTTAAAAAGTCATTTAGGGCCTTTTCAGTAAAGGCAACAAAGGCCTGACATCTACTTTGGGGACGAGAGGGTTCTTTTTCATAGATAGATAGATAGATAGATAGATAGATAGATATATCCGCTTTATATGTTTAGTTAGGACTCACAGAAGACTCACAGAAAAAATGGGAACTATTTATAACTAGATTATTCCATTCCTACTTTGGAGTGGCCTATAATATAAAAGTTGCCAGATTTTTTTGAATGAATCCAGGGACACTTTTCAACTTCAGTAGGAATGATAGGATTTTGCATAGGGACTGATTTGTAAATCTGAGGACTGTCCCTGGGAAACGGGGACATCTGGTAACCTACTACTGCTACTACTACTAATAATTTATTTATACCCTGCCTCTGTGGCTGGGTTTCCCTTGTCACTCTTGGCGGCTCCCAACAGAATTAAAAGCACAATAAAACATCAGACATTGAAAACTCCCCTAAACATGACTGCCTTCAGATGTCTTCTAAAAGTCAGATAGTTGTTTATTTCCTTGACATCCGATGGAAGGGCGTTCCACAGGGAGGGCGTCACTACTGAGAAAGCCCGCTGCCCTTGCTGCAAATACAATCCAGTATATGAAAGGTAGGGAATAAGGTTTTCAGTGGCTACTAAGCATGATCATCTACATTATCCCTGGTTAGAGAGCTGGCAGTTTCATACATGTGGCATGTCTTTCACATATGCTGGAAGCCATCCCAAATCCGGAATTTCCACAACCTCTCCCACCCCCATTCTCATCTCCATTCTGCTCAATGCAGCACCACTGCTGATAGGAAGCCCCTGCTTCCATTTCCTCCCCCACCCCAGGGCGATGTCAAGTCACAGCCCCATAGTTTCCACGTCTCAGACAAAATGTATGGGAGTCTTATAAATGGGGATCTTTATCCCAACTGGCATCTGTACTGGATCTGAAATTATTTTACACATGTGCTGTTATTCTTTTAATCCATGCCCCCCCCCGTATCTCTGTGTATATACAGAGCTATTTTAATTTTATATATGTTTCTATCAATCATTTCAGGATATATCACTGGAAATGGTTCATAAATGAAAATACTAATGGACCAAAGTCCTAAGCACACTTCAAAGGGTAAAAGCCCCATTGAACACTGTAGGAGTGACTTCAAAGTCAACATTCAAAGAGAAAAAAATCATAATATTTTGGTTAAAGCTTCACATTAAAGGAAAGGTAAAGGGACCCCTGACCATTAGGTCCAGTCATGGCCGACTCTGGGGTTGCAGTGCTCATCTCGCTTTATTGGCCGAGGGAGCCGGCGTAAAGCTTCCAGGTCATGTGGCCAGCATGACTAAGCCGCTTCTGGCAAACCAGAGCAGTGCATGGAAACGCTGTTTGCCTTCCTGCTGGAGCGGTACCTATTTATCTACTTGCGCTTTAACGTGCTTTCGAACTGCTAGGTTGGCAGGAGCAGGGACCGAGCAATGGGAGCTCACCCCGTCACGGGATTCAAACTGCCGACCTCCTGATCAGCAAGTCCTACACTCTGTGATTTAATCCACAGCGCCACCCACATCCCAAAGCTTCACGTTAGATGTGTATGTAAAGTGAAATCAGGTAGAATGTATCTCAACAGCAAACATGTACCTTGCAGGTAATATAGAACATACAGAAAACAGTCCTTGGCAAGACTAGTGAAAGAGGGAAGGATGTTGCTTTCTCCAGCAGGCTCCCTGGAAACATTTTAAATGGGGAAGAGTGGCTTGTAATTTTCTGCTATGACTGTAAAAGGAAGGGAGCACGCTTGAAATTATCTCAACACATACACCAAGAAAACTCAGATCCTGTGCTAAACTAAAGCAAACGCATAAGCTGCATTAGGCAAACTTACAAAGCTGCAATCCTAAGCATACTGACGAGGAGGAAAGCTCTATTAAACGCAGTGAGACTCGCTTCAAGATGAAATTATGTATATTGTAAGCAATTTCCTTCTGATGGGGCACATTTTGAAAATTGATTAGCTCTTTAAAAACAACCACGTTTAATCATAGGGATTTTCATATACACACAAAAAAAGACTGCACTTAGATATGAAGATCATTAAAGTAAATGATTTTTCCTTCTTTTGCATTGCAGCAATGTCTATACAGAAAAAAATTAAATTTAACCCATAGACTAAAATATGCAAGTTAACCCAGTCACCTGGTCGAGAGATCAACAAATCCTCAGAAATACTGACATATATATATATATACTAGAAGCCTGCTGCCAAATAATTGCCCAGTTAGTTCAAATGAGGGATGGGAAAATTCCTCTTAGCTTGGCTTTCAATTTGTTTGCTTTTCTCAAGCTTTCCTAGTTAAACCTCTCTTGTTTGAAGTTGAGAGTTGTTTCAAAAAAATAATAGTAATCTGTGCTTTCCCCCTTCTCTTCCTATTTGCCATACCACCCCTGCAAAAAAAGTTGGGCTGCATATACATGATACATTTGAAGTACACGAGGCTCCTCAAAGAACCCTGGGAGTTTGTTAAGAGTGCTAGAAATTGTAGCTCTGGTAAGAGTAAATTACAGTTCCCAGGATAATTTGAGAGGCTTTAAATGGGATGCAGGTGGTGCTTTGGGTTAAACCACAGAGCCTAGGGCTTGCCGATCAGAAGATCGGTGGTTTGAATCCCTGCGGTGGGGTGAGCTCCCGTTGCTCGGTCCCAGCTCCTGCCCACCTAACAGTTCGAAAGCACGAAGTGCAAGTAGATAAATAGGTACCGCTCTGGTGGGAAGGTAAATGGCATTTCCGTGCACTGCTCTCGTTCGCCAGAAGTGGCTTTGTCATGTTGGCCACATGACCCAGAAGCTGTCTGTGGACAAACGCTGGCTCCCTCGGCCAATAAAGCGAGATAAGCGCCGCAACCCCAGAGTTGTCCGCGACTGGACCTAATGGTCAGGGGTCCCTTTACCTTTACGTTATGTGCTTTAAATGCATGTTGTACTACCTCTTGAAATGGGAGGTAAACAGGAGCCTAGAAGATGTGCAGGTACTGGTCTTGGAGAAAGTACACAGCCACCACGACTAGTTTCAATTGATAGCCCAGTACTGGACAGTGTGTTGAGGTGATGACATCTGACATGTAGACAGCTGAGTTGCTGTTGCATACCAGGAAGGCATGGGGCAGAGGAAGGCAGGGATGGTAGCATGGTGCAAGCACACTGGCAGAGCTAATCTGATTGTGAGTGTTACAGTCCTGGTGCCAAGCTTAGATAGCCTGAGATATAATTCTAGTTGTTGGCATAGGAAAAATCAACCCTATGCCTGATGCGTAGCCCCAAGATAATCAAGAAAGAGAGAAATGTATTGAGTTGACAACCAGTTTGAGTGAAAACTCAGCATATTTAGGAACTGCTTTCTGAGCCTTTGACAGGGCATGACAAAAAGCAAACCTTGATGCAACTGTATAAATGATTGTGATACCGTATATGAATATTTAGGTAGTGTTTTAGAAATTGAGCATACACACACACCCCTGTGAAACACTGCACCAAAGTCAGTGTGAGATGTACAATCTCACTCTTTTACAGTGTTTTATCCATGTGCTTGTGCACTTTCATAATGCACTATAGGAGAAAATGAACCAAAAGCTGTGGCAGAATGCGCGGGCTGAAGTTGGAGAATTGCTTTTACAATTCAGAAGGAATGAAACTCAGGGTTGAATGAAGCGCACAAGCATTAAAGGAATGGACTGATGGAAATCCACTCACGCCTAGATTTGTGATCCTCAGAGATAACTTTAGATGCATAGAATATTTCAGCTTCCATCAGCATGAGATATAGTAAAGTTTTTATGTACAATAGGATAACATTTCAGTGATTCCTCTTCAGCGATTCCTCTTCAGCTGATCTCCTAGAGAGAGAAAACACATTGTACTTTATGTAGTTGTTTTGATCATGGCAGTTTTGGAGGGTCTTTTCAGATTTATTTTCACATTGAACTTTGTCTTCCCTGGCAATCTAGGTTTTCTCGTTTGTTGATTTGTTTTACAATCTCTGCTGATATTCTTTATTATTTCCTGTGTGTTGAATTACTGCGTCATAAATATTTAGAATGTGGCCATACTCGGTAAAGCAATCTTTGCATTGCTTTTGTTTAGGCTCTTATTTTTACCCAAGAGCTAAAATATTTAGCTCATAAGAAACACTGCTTGCTGATTTAATGATAGTACAATAATTTGTGTCACCAAATGCTGCCTGGTTTTTTAAATTCATGTCCCTTTAGCTTTTGTTTCTCCCTGTATTCTGAGGTATGTTTGTGTGTGTGTTTAAAAACATGCTACCAAGGCCAAATCTCCTTTCTATTTTGTGCCTCATTTCAATTGATGTTCACGACCTGTCTTTCCTTACAGGGTGTGTGTTGATTGCATGAGTTTATCAAAGCATCCCTGCTGCTTAATGTAATAATAGCTTTGATATGAAATTATTGAGAGATCAACTATAATAGCTCAGACTCCAGGTTAAATGCTATAATTATTCTCTTCGCAGTGTTTTCCTCTCATGTTTTGAAAATCCCTGTGAGCATATTGTATGATTCTTTTTAATGTCCTATATAGTAGAGAATACATCTTCAATGCTGGCTTCCAAGCAAGAGCAAAGAGAAGAGGGTAAGACAAAAAGGGCTTCTGGCCACATTCTAATCCCTTCTTTTAATGCAACTTCTTTGGTAGATAAAGGGCAAGACTTCTGGCAGGTTTCATTATTAGGTCTTTGCCATTTCTAGCTCTATTGTTTCAGAATTGGAATGGGATGCTTTGTTTATCTTAGAAGAATGTAAGCCATCCAAAGGGAAGTTCATTAACAGTGCCCTCTAAATGACTCATTCTGTTCAACTGTTGAACTTGCTCCAAGAAAAGCCACAATCAGAAGACTCTGCAGTGGTGTTTGGCAAATAGTGGCAGTTGAAGATGCAGATTCTTTTCATAGCATCTATCAAAGAGAGACAATGATGAGAACTACACTAAAGACAATTTGTATCCACCAGCTGCAGTGTTGCACCTGAAATTTTGGCTTGGTTTTAGGGAAACAAAGTCCACCCCTTGCTTAGGGACAAGGGAGAAATGCATTTAGTTTACATTTTTATTGTAATGCAAACTTCCCAGATTTCCACTTCCTGAACCAATATGTGAACTGAAATTTTCCCTGGGAAATCCCTATTTTTCTGAATGTTGTGATGCAGTTCTCCAACTAAATAATGCATACAAAGATGGGAATATTAGTGAAATAATGTACAAAACACACATTCTGTTAAAGAATATTGCTTGCGAAAATGCTTATACCAGACAAAATTGTGCACACAATGTGCGTATTAAGAGAAATGTGCATGAAAGTAATTATGAATTTTTGAGTGGAACTTTTTTGGTGAGATTGCAGTGGGTTGAGCTGAATTTAAAATTGGGAAAATAGAAATTGGCAGATTTGTCCATCCCTGTCCCTTGCATTGCCAAAACCCTCTCCACCCCCTTTACCTTAATGTTCATTTCTTTGGGAGCTATTCCTAGATCTCAAGTAACATAAGAAACAGTCCTGAAGAATAACAACAGATTTGAGGTATATGCAATCCAGCTTATTATGACAGTGGATCCAAGTATGTGGCATTCAGTGATGCAGAAGCAAGACACCTGACGATCTTATCCTGCCACAAATTCTGCTTAGTCATTGACACAGATGCAAGACAGCTCTTTATTTCTGGATTTTTTGCATATGTTTGCAATTTTTGAAGTTTGAAGTGGGGTTTGAATACACTCTGAAGGCAGTTTGTGGATACTTTTTTTTCAAGTAAAGGTTTTGAAAAGCAATTGAAGAACTGGAAAGTGAAGGAACTGAATGCTTAACTAGATGAGACACCTTTTGCACAATGGCAGTTGGGACCCAAGCACAATCAGTTTTAACCTTTTGCTTCTTGCTTCAATCCAATAGGAGTCTATCTGTTATTAGACGAAAACTTCTATATGGTGCAAATGGCAGCTTTTCTTCCAACAAAAATAGCAGGTAAGGAGGACCTAATCCATCTCAGAATTACAGCAGCAAGCAAAAGTGTTAAAGTCTCAAAGGCCAGGATCCTCAACATCTTCTATTTACTTTTGAAAAGCCATTCAAACAGCTGCTAATTGCATAGACTTCAGCTCCCCTAACTTGGCCCTGGAATGCATAGCATTATTGATTTCAGCTTGAGGTTTTTTTTAATTAATGACCCATATTTTCAAAATAGGTTTTAGCTGCTTAAGATGATGTAAGGTTCATTCAGTTTATGGCTCATGTTCATTTCCACCCCATAAAAGAGGCATAGATATAGATATAGATAGATATAGATATAGATATAGATAATATTATGTCTTTTATGGGGGGGTGATGAATGTGAGCCTTAAATCAAATGACCCTTACATCATTCTTCCATTTCCTGATCTTTCTAGAGCAGGGATGAGGAGCCTGTTGCCCTCTGGATGTTGCTGTATGATAACTCCCATCATCTCTTACCATTGATCATGTTGGCTGGAGCTAATGGAAATTGGAGTCCAATGAGATATGGAAGGCTCATTCTCGCTGATTCCCCACTCCTGTTCTAGAGAGTGCCTCAGATGTATTGCATCCAGGCTGCTGTCTTGGAGATCTCTTAGAAAATTGATTTTCATTATGTTAAGGGGGCCAGGTGTTGAAAAATATATTAAAACAAAATATCCTTATTTAGTAAAACAATTGTGGAAGATTGCTGGAGAAATAATATCAAGTTGTATCCAGTGTCACAGGCCTGATTGGGTAGTGCAGTTTACAGGGGGAGGAGACAATGGCAAATTTCTGTAGTGCAAGCAGAATCCATTCCACACACAGAGAGACCTAGAAGCATAGCAAATGTAGTTTCCAATTGCTTCTTGGTTCAATGCATATCCCAGTGTTCCTAGTAGCAATAGATTTCCCCAAGCATCTAATGACTGATAAGGCCTTCAGACTGAGACCTTCACAATACAGTGGTACCTCAGGTTAAGAACTTAATTCGTTCTGGAGGTCTGTTCTTAACCTGCAACTGTTCTTAACCTGAGGTGCCACTTTAGCTAATGGGGCCTCCCGCTGCCACCGCACCGCCAGTGCACGATATCTGTTCTCATCGTGAAGCAAAGTTCTTAACCCAAGGTACTATTTCTGGGTTAGTGAAGTCTGTAACCTGAAGCGTCTGTAACCCAAGGTACCACTGTACAGAAATCTCCCCTGCTCTTTTCCTTCCTCAAAAGGGTGAGTTTGGAAAAGAGAAGAATGGTGACGTGGAGAGATAGGAAGGCTCTAATTTGTTCAGGACCCAATTCAGAAGGGATTTGGATGATGGACCCTTCAGTCTACTTATTTAAATCCTCTCAAACTCAGACCAGCACCTTCACAAATTTCAGTATTTCCCCTCTAATATTGTTATGAGTTTGTGAGTGCCAGACCCCTTCAATCCCTGGATCCAGCAAGTGTTAAAATATAACCCAGGTTTGCTTCCTTATGAGGTAATCACCTGGGTGATGGGCCATTATGAGGACAAAGGAAAGGAGGCTCTGTGTGAGATGGCAAATGGGTGACTTGCAGAAGGACAAAGGCAGTTTGGAGCAGAGTTTTGGGGGCTGTGTTGTGAACTAGAATAAAAGTAGCAAGCTGGAGAGAGTGTCAGAGTTTGGTTTCTGTTTGACTCCAAGGCTGTGACTATGGGAGAAGACTTCTTTGGGGAGTTGATGCTGTGAACCCTTCCATTGCAGGCTCAGGTTGTATATATGCATAAATAAGCCATATATCATGAAGACACCACAGTCTCCACTGTGCCTAATTCACAAAAGGAAATATGAGCCCCAGGTAAGTAGAATCTCACACAGCTCAAATATTGGGATGTGTGGAACAATATGTTTCCAGTGTTCAGATGGCCCTGAAAGTCAGGTGTTCAGACCTAATTCCATCCAACTACACATCCACATGCTTTGAAATAAATGTCCATGCTAATTTAAAAATCATTCCTACTAACATTGCTCCTGCCACTGATGCAGAATTCTAAGGACAAGCACAATTATGAAAATATGTATTAAACCTCCTTTATTAATGACTTCTAATACGTATTCTTCCAGCAAGGACCTGTTCACTATGTATGTTGTTTAGTCATGATTATAAGCACTAATTATCATTCTCCCAGATGTGTTTTTTTTGTCCTTTGTCAGTAAAATTGAATACAATGTATAATTTTGAAGTGCTGAATTTTTAAAGAAAGAAATGGTAATTAGGAAATGTGAGAAATTAATTCATGTTGTTTATAATTAAAGTAAAAAATGTTAACTTGTATAATGCAGTCTAACCTGCTTGTTCACAAATAGAACAATAATGTTGGCAACTGATATGTAGATACAACAAATGCATTATACTAATTTCTAAAGTACTTTACTTTTATTTTGATAGAACATTAGAACATCTCAGCCCAGATAGACTTACTTGGAAATAATTTTATGATTTTTGGTTTATGCAGTCCTCAGCACACACCTTTGTGAGAATCTCATTATACAAAATACGGGAGACTGAAATGGATTGCCGATATTCCTTCTGGCATTCCTTCTGTGCTTTTAATTGTTGCACGACAAGCAGAAATTTAGCAGGCAGCACTTTCTGGCACAGAAAGGTAGAATCCTGCTAAACGTAAGCTGTTTCAGAAAAATCTGAGGCCCCTATTATCCAATGGCCTGCATTCTTAAAGCCTGGAGACGAGATGATTAAGAGGCAATATGATAGCTATTTTCAACTATTTGGAGAGCTATCAAAGAACACATTTGCTCTGTGTTCTAAATGATAAGACATGAGTCAAGAGCAGGGGTCAGCAAACTTTTTCAGCAGGGGGCCGATCAACTATCCCTCAGACCTTGTGGGGGGCCAGACTATATGGGGGGGGGGGGAATGAACGAATTCCTATGCCCCACAAATAACCCAGAGATGCATTTTAAATAAAAAGCACACATTCTACTCATGTAAAAACACGCTGATTCCTGGACCGTCCGCGGGCTGGGTTTAGAAGGTGATTGGGCCAGATCTGGCACCCAGGCCTTAGTTTGCCCACCCATGGTTCAAATGACAAATACAAACAAACCAAAATTTCGGTTAAATATTAGGAGGGACTTTCTGTTTGAAGTCTGCCTCAGAAGGTGGTGGATTCTCCTTTGTTGGAGATCTTTAAGCAGAGGCTGGATGGACACCTATCAGGGATGCTGCAGCAGTGGATATCTTGCATTTGCATAGGGTTGAACTGGGTGACTTTTAAGGTCCCTTCAAACCCCATAATTCTAGAGGAAACACTCTACACTTGAGCTGTCACTTCATATTGTACATACAGCATGAATCCTTTTCTGGATGACAATGGATACTCCTGCCATCATGCACTCTGGAATTTATTTTATCCAGTTCACTGGTGCCCGTAGAACCCCTGAGAACTATGTATCACACCCAATGGCTAATATCAGTCTGCCTACCTACCTGCCGGGCAGCCAGCCTGCCTGCCGTCCGCTCTTTGATATTTATTTGACAGATAGCAATACAATGCAACATATTATACAGAATATATAATGCAAACATACGTTTAAAAACCAGCACAGAACATCTAAATTTATTTTCTTTAAATGTCCACGCAGTCAATTTATGTTGGTCAGTAACATTCTAAGATTCTGCAGTAACATGCAATCAATTCCAGGCTAATCGATATAATACAGTCTGCTGCTGAAATGATTTGTGATCTGATAAATACAGTCTAGCATTCTGGTTAGGCTTTTAGCCCAGAGGTATTGAGTTCCTTCTTAGTTGCTACATCACTTATTTTAGCATACAGAGTGCCTGATTTTTAAGCTGTTTACTCAGAGATTTAGGTACAGTTGAATATCTTTTATGTTTTTTCCACTGTAGTTTTCTAAAACTTAATTTAAAGTGTATGGATTTATATGATGAGCTGTGTGGAACCCTACACAGAGACAGGATGGTGTACTCAGCATGTTCCATGAAATCTATCTTCAACCTACTGGGGCTCAGGAGTTTATATTGGTGCATTACTATATGTTTAGAGGGAATCTTTTAATGATAATTAAATTTGACTTACATGCTGAAGACATGCTGAAGAAATACTGTTATTGTTAATCCTACCATGGGTTTTGCTCTTCTATTAAATTCGTTTTAGGATTCTTGATTACAATATCAATGTGGGGAGGAAGGGGAGAGATAGGGAATGTGGCCAACATTTTAAAGTGTGGTTCATTATCAGCATATAGATGGAGTGAGAACATCTCCACATCCTGAGTCAGCAGGAAACGATAATTTAAGGAAGATAACGTGTCAAAATGTGTCTCTTGGCCTTTTTTTACACCAGATTTATGGAGCAACCATAATCCACAATAAAAAGTCACATCCATGCCAAGTAATATAGAGGATAATTCTAAGTGCCCAGTAGAGTACGTGCAATTATCTTTCAAACTGAATCAGTGCAATGTTGGGACAGCCTGTAACACAGAGATGTCAATCCATTGCACTAATTAGATTTACACACCACATTCATTTTATCTGTAGTTTGCCCCCCAAAAGAGGGGTCAGGAAGGGAAGAAGGTAGACATGACACATTTCAATCTTTTGTATGTGGGGGGCAGGGGTGATCATCAAAGAAATGAATAGTCATGTTCTTCTATTGCATAGGGACCTTCAATAGCTTGTTTCCTTATGAGAGAGAGAGGGGGGGGGAAATAGGGGGTTGTATGCAGCTTCAGAAAATTATATTGTGATGGTTGAAATGTTGAGGGTTGCATCCAATTATCTTCTACTCATAGAACATTCATTAAAGTTAACAAACCTAAGTTAGCTATGTCTATTAATTATTCTGTGTGTAACTAACATTTCAATCAATGCTGATGGTTTGACAGAACAAGTTTTTGATAAGTTAGTTTTTTCCCCTTTTGAATGTAATGCCCCTCAGCAATGGTCTAAAATAAGGATTTCATAATACAGCAGGTCAATAAAATTTATCCCAAAGCCCAACATCTATAATCATATTTCTTTAAGATCAGTTCACAGTTCATGTCAGAATTTCCATGACATATAGCTCATGATAGGCAATGCACATGATTTGTGACTGATTGTGGCTTCCTAGGGCATGCATTGTACATTGCAACCACTTTCTAACAGTGTTAAGTGCCAATATGTTGGAAGCTATGGTCATAAGTGTACTTCATAGTGTAATCCTATATGTTTCTACACAGAAGTAGGCCCCACTGAGCTTACTGCCGGATAAGTGAACTTTGAATCCATGTTCTTGGTTTGAGTAGAGCTGTAGGATCAACATTATACATAAAAAGCACACCTGCAGTTCATGTACAGTAGCAGCCTCCATCGAGGAATGTCATCATGTATGAAGCAGCTTGTCACAGTTGGTCTCTATGGCGTGATTCCTTACTTCAGGTTCTGCCTGGTGGATTCTTACTTCCCCATTGAGCCAAGGACCTTTCTCATCACAGGGTCTCCCTTCAGCAGGCAGCCCCTGTTGATACTTTTCTATTTCTCTGGTTCCTCGCTGCATCTGCAGTCCCTGAGTTTCTTCTGAACCTGCCCTTGAGGCTTTTCCTATAATAAATCATCCCCCACCGCGCACCTTTCTTCTGTGAGTTGCGAGATCTTGAAAAACCCTTTCTCCTTTTTGCCTAATCTCCATTCTGTGGTGCTTCTCCTGCCTCACTTTCTCACTCACAATGGCCACCATTTTTTGAGCTGTGAGATGCGTGAGAGTTGTGGTGACCCACTTTTGGCCCAGACCTGTTTCTGTCTGGCCAGGCTGAAAGCAGGATGCCACAGAGGCCAGCACAAAGCACCCTGCTCAGTTCCTCACACGACTCTTCTCAAGATGACCCCATATTTCTCATTTGAGTTGCAGTGGCTAAATCCCTATGGCTGTTTTAGCTTTTGATCTTCCTCCCCTCTTTTGAGTTGTTTGAGCGTAATTACTTTAAGTAGGTAGGGGTTTCCCCCTCCTTGCACTTCATATATTAATATCATTAATCATTAGCACCTTTAAATTCACTCTGCATTGCTTTAATAAATGTTAAATTATGAATGTGGACAAAGAAATTACACCTAGGTGATTTTAAAGCACAGCCAGGAAAATAATAGAGTCTCTAGTGAGCTTTCGAGAAATGAGATTAGTCTTGGAGATATGTACCTAAAAGATGGGTTATTAATGAAGTATGGATGAAAGCCAGAAATGGCCAGGAAATATTCATAATGTTTTGTCTGAGTGGCTAAAGCATCGTCACATATCTCATTCTCTCCTTTCTTCATATTAGGGAAAGGTACTTTTCAAAAAAGTGCATATTAGGCAAATTCACTTTTAAATGTGTATATTTTAAGAGAACTTTGCGTTAAAATGCTGAAGAATTTCCATGAGGATTTAAACTTGCATGCACACACACACACACACACACACACACACACACTGATGGTGAAATATGAAGACCTTAACTTAGGACCGGAAAAAAATGAGAAAATGAGAGAAACTGAAATTGACAGATTTGTACAATGCATTCTTCGTGTTATTATTACTAATATATGCATTTGTATGCACACTTAACCCCAGTATATATGTTTGTGTACATCTAACTTTGCCATAGAACTGCACTGCAAAATTTGGAGAAGTGCAAATTTGCAGAGAAAGCTGTGTTTCAGTTCACATTTTGCTTCACCAGGTGCAAATTTGGTAGGTTCACCATGAAATGTGAATGGAAAAAATATATATTTTCCCCGTCCTTACCCGCACCCCAGTAAAAGTGGGTGACCGTCCTTTAGCAATATACTGGAGATGAAAAGCCAAAAACACATAGCCAGCCACACTTAAAACACAGCCTGCGAAAGCCTTTCCTCACATATTTGCCATGCCTTCCTTACTGCAAGCACAGCCCCATCTGTTAATAAGCAGGCATTAGCGGAAAGCTGAAAGTTAAACAGTCATTCTGAGTTAAACAAATTCACAGCGTTTGAATGTTTGATTCACAATGCGAATGTCAGTCCTTGGCTGCGGCTTCATCTCCTTAATGTTTTGTTTTAAATTGAAATTGATCCTCTTTGTTCAAAGATTGTAATTTGAAACACCTTACAAGCAATTAGCCTGCAATGAATCTATTTTCAAAATGTGCCCAGCCTAGGCAATATTTATTAACGTGTGCTCTCTCTGGCCCCTTGTTATCGCAGGCGACAGATGATGCAACCCTAACTGTAGCTCAGCGGCACATTGCATGAAGCATTGGAGGTCTGATAACACATTAAACTCTACCATTAGGGGGGCCTTCTTCCTCTTCAGCGTTTCTGCCGGCTCTGCTGAGAAAATTGTTAGTGGCTGGCTGCATTTCCCCCTTCTACTTTTGCACTCCATTGTGCTCATTATGTCACACAGGGCTTAAAACTCCTAACTGCTCAGACTGGCTCATGAGGGTAGCTGATTTATTACACAGTCTCTCCCTCCCCTGAACAATTATTCACAGATGGGTAAGTCCATTACGGGAGGGGAGGGGCTGAGAACATGCCGCTATTTTAAAAGTAGGGTATCATTTCTCAGCGTGAGAAACGTCCCAACAAAAGAGAATGCCATTATAAATCTTACATTTCATTTGTCATTATAAATCTTACATTTCATTTCAATCACGCTCTTGACTAATAACAGGGGCTATTTTGCAGCCACTGTGTTATTAGGGATGTTTATATCATTTAGAAGGCTTGCTGTCGGGAGCCATAGCTAAGGATCAATTCTTTCAAAATACACACACACCGCACAAGAAAGTGTCCTGATGATTTTAAAGTATTTTTAAACACTGTCATTATACCCTTTCATAAATCAAACATTGAGAGGGGGTGATCAGAGAACACACCAATCTTTGACTGCCTGCCTGCCTTGCCTTGCCTTGCCATTTCTCCCTTTGGGGTATGGCGAGAAATAGCCAGCTAGGAAGGTATCCTTTATCCTTCCCATAAATATCAGCTAAGAAAGGGATGAGTGACTTCTGGATGAAAGCCACAACACAAAAGCCATATGTTATTCTCTCTTCAGATTAATCACCTGCTTTGTGGGGAAAGGCCTTAGAAGGCTGTTCTTGGAATAAGAACACTTCTAATACATCAAGTCGGGGCATTGTTTAAATGAAAAGGGGGGATGAAAGCATTTTCTCAAAGACATCTCTCCCCAAACCTCATGCTTTATTTTTTAGGACTGATTTGGTGCATCTGAGGTCTAATACTCAAGCTTGCTTCGGACAGTGGTTAAAAATAATTAAATTGATATTTACATGTGGTTAATATTTTTGGATGGGTGTTATCGCTCTTCCTTCCCTCATATTATGAAATCCAAGTGATTTCCAGTGTGGTTAATTTGTGATTTCCTCATGAGAAAATCAGGGTGTTAGAATTCCGGCTCCGTTATTGCAGTCATGGGATTTTTGTCTATCACATGAAGGTAGATGTTTTGACTCCACAGAGTGGGAAGTGACGGAGACAGGATGTTTGTGTTACTGTGTTCTGTGAAGTGGGACTATTGTCCTTTGTTCTTTTTCTCTCTGCTGTCTGATGCTAGAGAGAGAGGGAGCCATGTTGCAGTGCTCTGTGTGTCTTTATATGTAAATAAAGTAGATTAGCCAAAATGCTGAGTTGCTGAGGTCTGTTACGCAAGCTGCGAAGACTCTCTGGATCCCTAAGTGTGTCGGTGTCTGTTGGCATCCGTCGCTGTGATGTTTGGGCAGAAGCTCCCATACTAATGACCAGGAGGGAGAGAACATGTCAGTTGGGCATGTGTCTCTGCCAGGGTCCTACTCGAGTGTAGGGCAAGCTCATGACACAGGGTACTCACTATTTTAAAAAATGGGGTTGGAGTGATATTATCATGTCACTGTTGGGTTTACACCAACTTTGTGAATTATCTGACAGTGGCAGCAATGCCCTCCTGCTACCAGTGTTGCTGCTGCTTACTTGGGATTGGGGTGAGTCTGGACAATGCAGTTGCGCTGATGACAGTGCCAAATTGGTGGTAGCACTCCTGCTGATGCAACCATGTGGCTCCAACATTATTGGTGTTCTGCCCCATTTCAATCCAGGTAATCAACCACAAAGTTGCTAGGGTTGCTTTGCAGCTCAGCCCCATCACATGCGCCTCAACCAGGTATGAAAGATTCTGTCAACTTTGGTTCTCTCGGTTTCTCATTTCCCACCCTTAATTTCAGTACTTCACAATTCTTCACGAAAGTTCATTTTAGCATGAATTTCGCCTACTAAAAGCATTTTGCTGTGAACTTTTGACTAATGTACATTCTGGTCCTGCTTTACAAACGTTCACTATGTGGAAATTCACTCATCCGAACATGGGGAATTAGTACTCAAACCTTGCCATACACATTGCAGAGTCAGATATGCAAATAAATAGCAGTTTTTACTTCCTTGTTTGCCTTTTACTAGTTCGTTGAGGAACAAAGGAAGGAAGGGAAGGGGAGTGATCAAACAAATCAGATAGATTTTCCTCTGGCTTTTTTTTGTTTTGTTTGTTTTGGAGGGTTAAAATTCCATGGCTGGAAATTTTTCCATAGGAAACAATGGAAATTGTAGACTCATTATGCAAACCCTTGCCTAACGAACAATTTCCAGGGAAAGTGTTGTGATGGTAAGTGGGACTTGCATGTACATATTTTTGCAAGCAATTTCCCCTAATATAATGTATGTTTGTATTTTGACCCCCACTGATATATTTGTTTGTATGCACACTTTTCTGCAATTTTTGCATTTTTGTAGACATTGGTTGTATAACAGCATCACAAAATTCAGAAAAGTGTGAATTTTGAAGGATGGTTGTGTTTCAGTTCCCATATTGATTTAGAAAATGTGAATTAGGTAGGCTCACCTTTAAATGCAAACTGAATCAATTTCCCCCCATCCCTATCCACCGCTGTTATCAGACTATTTAAAATCTTTAATTTCCCACTTTAAATCTCTGGTACATATATTTTGCTGCAGGAGACTAACACGGTTACTCCTCTTGATATAATTATAGATGTTCTTAACTGCATGTACTTGTATTTCTCTCAACAATGTTGTATCTTCATTGAGACCCAGTTTAAATAAATAGAAACGAATCTGGAAGTAGTTCAGAGTCATTGTGATATAGTGGTTAATGTATCAGACTAGGACTTGGAAGTCTACTGTTCAAATCCTAATTCAGTCACAATGCTTACTGGGTGACCTTGGGCCAGTCACCAACTCTCAGCTGGGCCGACCTCATAGGATTGTTGTGAGGATAATACAGAGAGGGTGAAACCCCTTTGAGCTGCTTGGAGAAAAGGGAGGATACACAGAAGGGGGGGAACCCATATATATATATAGAGAGAGAGAGAGAGAGAGAGAGAGAGAGAGCATGCCATGTTGGTGCTGGAAGCAAAGCTGAAGATAAAAATCAAGCAGGCTTGTGTTCTGTGCATTTTCTCAAATAAACCTACGCAAACACATATTTCACTCCTCAGTCCTATCCGCCCTTCGTAGCTTTCTTTCCATGCATTTCACTGTGTAGGTTTTATCTCACCCTTCATGAATAGAAATACTCAACCTCCAAATTCAAGTGTAATCCATCTGTGAAAGAAAGATTCCAAACCTAGAACAGTTGCCAACATTTTTTTCCCTAATCTGCCAGCCTCTCCAAGTATAGCATCATTCATTCATAGTGGAGCGAGAGTTTCAGCTGTTTCACTTAGTTGCCTTGCTCAGATAAATTTATACAGATGACTGAGGCAGAAAATTCTACATGCCCCAGTACACAGGCAGCTCTCGTGAACACACACATGGCTCTCTCAGAATTTAATTCCTGTTGAGCACCCAGAAAGTTCACAACCCTTGAAATATAACTGAGAGCTCCTGTTCTTGGTGGTATGTGGGGGGGGGGGGAATCACCTGTGGAAAACATAAAGGAAGAAAAGGACCAGGAATTGAATTAGGACACAATCCTCATGGAAGGTATGCATAAGATGTTTTAAAGTTCCAGTGAAATCAGGTTGTTGCCACTGATGTCATTACACATCTTAGTTAAACTGATAATCTCCCCGTTTAACACGACTATTGCTTAAATTTGTTTTGGGAAATAAGTGTCCTCTGATTTTTCTGCTCATATGTAATTCCACTGCAAATTATTTCCACCCAGTTTTAGCAGCAAAAATAGCAGGGTGGGGGGATGAGGAATGCACTGGGTTAAAATAGGCGACAACACTTTGGGGATAATTTTAACGATCTACAATGAACAAAGGAGCTAATTCATTAAACATCAACCAATCACTGTCCCAGTGTGGGTTCCTAAGGGACCCACCCCATATCTTTAGATCTTTTGGGAAAGATTGCTTGGTTTGGGACCCCAGAGTTGCTATTGCCGTACATAAAGCCCTTTCTACCAAGATTCTAATGTATTGGGAAATTTCTGTGTGGGAAAATCTGGATAAGCCAAACAAGTGAAGGCCTTATCCCAATCATAAGCTTTCTGGTGTTGGTGTCCCTTCTCCTTATGGTCATGTCCCAAAGGACTCACCATTTCCCCATGTCTTCTCTCTCCCCATCTAGCACTGAGCCTGATGCTACTACTGCCCATCATCAGTTGCCTCTACCCATCACAGCCTGTCTGCACCCTAAGATCTACATCCACTTTCGTGCTGCGTACATTTAAATTTGATTTTGGGTTGGGAAGAATTCCAACAGAGTCATTTTTCCAGATAAACTCATTCCCTCTGTTTACACCTGTTGGCCTGTCTTTCACACCTGTTGGCCCCTCCACTCTCCAGTCTGTCAGTTTCCTTAAGCTTGGGGGCATAGGATTTGCTCTTGGAAAGCACTTAGATTGAAGCGTGTTGGTGAAATTGTTCCTTCTGATTACATGCTAGATTTGTCAGTTGTGAAGGAGCTCCCTGCCTCCCCCCATTCCTAACATTAGTGATTTCCTCAAGGAAGAGACATATGTTTGAATATTGCAAATCTGCCCTTCCACCCAGAGCATTGCATAGATGCCACAAGGCTTTTTAGAGATCCCTGTTTTGATTTGTGAATGATCGTACATACCCTGCTTTGCTTCCTCAAAGCCCAGAATCACCCCAAAACACCTTGCTTCTCCTTGAGGATTCATCCAAATCTGATGCACACCCCTGGTATGTATAATTAGGTGTCCATAAGTACATCTATGGTATACTTAAGAAGGCAATCTCATAAATGTCCATTCAGAAGAAAGTCCCATTGAGTTTTTGCAGGAAAATGAGCACAGGACAGCAGCCTGTGTAGTCAATTGTAGTCAATGAGTTTATTTTTTGTGAGAGCATGTTGCATTATGTGTGTTTTTGTTGGTTCCTGCATTTTAAAAAAATCAAATTCCATGAAATAAGAAAATAAATGTTCGTTCTATCATCCTTCCTTGAAATAGTCTACAAGCCATAGGAAACTTCAGTGTGTGTGTGTGTGTGTGTGTGTGTGTATCACTAAAGTGCCTACGCCAGATCAATAATTAAATCTATATATGGTCATAAATTTTAATTGGAATTGAAACTCTGGGTAGGTTTCCCAGAACTGATAATGAGTTCATTGCTTATGAGATCCCTAGTTTACCTCTTGGCTGTCATGTAACTTTCCAATAAATTACATCTTGATAATCAGATCAAGTATATATATATATATATGGCAATCAAAATAATCTTTTCTTCCAGCAGTAAAGGAATAGCTCTGAATCTCAGCTGCTTTCCTAGACACAAACACTGATGGATGGAAAAAGAAGAAGAGACAAGTGCACTGAAATGATTTCCAAAGTGTGGGTTGGATTCTAATAAAACCAAGAACAACAACTGTGGCGAGAAAGAGATAGATGTTCAGCTTAATAGCATGATTTCAGTATCTGACGTTTAACCAATTATTGTTGGACTATCCACCATGATAGCTTCAATTCCTGAAAGGTACAACTGTAAGGAGAATGAAAAACTGGTTACAGGACACATTTTGAAATTGCTGCTTTAGGAAGAGTTGTATCTCTGAACTATAGAGTATCAATGTACAAGTAAGTGGGGGAAATGATTGGGCCTTGTAACTGCCATTAGACTTGCATGCAGAAGAGTTATTTTAGAAAAAATGAAATAAAATAACCAACCCAAATGCAGCACATTACAGCTCAACCCTATGTGTGTCTACTCATTTCTGATGATTTAGGGTTCCTTCCTGGTAATACAGCCTTCATTTCTGTATTATGTGTCATCTAAATAGGGATGCTTATACTGTTTCCCCTTCGTTTTCTAGTTGGTTAATCATCATTATTCTCAAGGCTTTTTTTCCCCAGCCGGAACTCACTGGAACCCAGTTCTGGCACCTGTCAGGTGGGCGCCATTGCCATTATAAGACAATAAGGGAAGCGTTCATGGTGAGTGCTAGAAAAATAGCCCTGATGATAATACTAATATTAATACATCCCACATGCCAATCAGCTCTCTGTACCACTCAGCCAGCCCTAACAGAAAAGTATAGCTGTATGGCAAAAGAGATCCCTCTGACGTGCTTCTAAGCAGAAAAAACATGTAACTGATCTGACTGCTGGAAAGTCAGCCCTATTAGGAAGGCTCTTATTCCCTCTATTAGGCTGTCTAGCACAGCCACTATAGCAGATAAGGAAGGAATCAGGACTATTGCAGAAACAGCTCTATGTGTTAATCATACAATTGTTCTGAGCGTGTTTAGAGCTATTTCCGGAAGGCCAGAGAAAGATGCATTTCCAACACCGAGGAGCTTTCCTTTTTTAGTTAGGTTAATTTCTATATAAGAGGCATAGAATCAATGTTGTCTGAAAAATAATATTTGGGCATTCTTACATGGAAGCACCACCCCTGTCAATAGATGTGAAAATAATCATTGAGTTTTTTTAGAGAGGAGGAGACAGTGGAACTCAGATTATATGTACTGACAATAGTCCAACTTCTGGATGGTCACATGATCCCCATCCATGCTTTACACTGTAGCAGTTATGATTGAATGAAAAGTAACAATAAATTGTTTTATTGCAGCCTGCAGAAAACTACGGGAACAGACATAGGACAGGATATGGCTAACTCTTAACTGATATAATAAACATGATCCCTATTCATTCAATCATTCCATGGCTTAATTTCACCAGTATAGATTCCTGGATTTGACCTTCCTAGTACAGTGGTACCTCAGGTTACAGATGCTTCAGGTTACAGATGCTTCAGGATACAGACTCCACTAACCCAGAAATAGTACCTCGGGTTAAGAATTTTGCTTCAGGATGAGAAGAGAAATCATGCGGCGGCGGCGGCGGCGGCGGCGCATCGGCAGTGGGAGGCCCCATTAGCTAAAGTGGTGCTTCAGGTTAAGAACAGTTTCAGGTTAAGAACAGACCTCCAGAATGAATTAAGCTCTTAACCTGAGGTAACACTGTATACCAGCATTCTGGCTGTGAAATTAGTTCCATTTTATTTACTTTACTTAAACCTGCTAGCTTGATTCTGCTTGAGATTAGTATTAGTTATTAATTCTTTAAAATATTAGTTTGTATGTCATCAAAATATGGAAAATTTGTCTGACTAGCAAGCTTTAAAATTCCAGCTAACTACAGTCTGATTATTATTTTTTTGTCGCCCACATGCTCTGCCTTCTGAGAGCTCTGCTCACTCAAGCAAATAAATGAAACTGAAGTAGGAACTGAAGTGTAAATTCAGCTTTGAGCTTTCTTGTGGCTGAATAATGCCTTTGAGCTGAACAGGTGGAACCCACAAGTTAGTACAAGCAGCTTGAAGCATCTCAGTCCTACCTTTTTGTTCAACTCCTAACTAGATTTTAAAGGTTTTGACGTTATGCAAAAACAAAACCCAATTTCATTTGTGCTTCTTTTTTGCGGAGGCACTGATCATGTGTAAAAGATCCAAAGGTAACAACAACTACAAGAATGCACTCCTACTTTAAGTAATTATTTGCAAACCTTGTCTAATATTGTCCTTAAAAATGCAAGAACACAATCTCAGATGCAATGGCAACACATGGAACAGGGTCAGGTATGTGTTGCAGTAGGGTATGTCTGACTGTTTCATATTCTTTCTCCAAAGTCAAATTTATGACTTGCTATTGACCAGAATAATCTTTTCCAATGTCAGAAAGTGGAATATGAATAATGGAGCAATGATTGTAGAAATGTATTTTGCATGAAAGATAATGTGATCTGGCAGAAAAAGTAGTTGATTGGATTGGAAGACAGATGGCATAGCATAACAAATCTCTCATTGTCCAAGCTTACGTAAGAATTTCAGATTTAGCCTCATTCAAATATAAACCAGAGATAACCTTTCCTAAATTGTTGGAAAGGTGAGGCATCAGTTGCTGAGCTTCTCATTCAATGCATGCAGCAACAATATGAAATAATCTGAGCCATCTTAAACTGAATCAAAACATCAGTCCATCTGCTTTTCGACACTGAACTGTGAGAGAAAATTTGAAATTCTGAAATTTGCAACAGAACTGAGGGGTCATTATTAAGTCAAACCACCGTAAGAATTTCAAGGAATCTGTTGAAATGTTAATGAAATTCCAACAAGACTTGTGAGGATTCTACCTGTGTAATCAAGTCAAAACAACTTGACTCTAGCTACATTGGGCTACAGTGGAATTTCTAGGACTGGAGTGCTTATGCAAGAAAAGCAACAGAAACAAGGGGTGAGTAAAGCCACAAATAAATCTCAGACAAATCCATCAATTTAAGAGTAAGGAAAACCCAAAATGCTTTGTTTTAAAGCAATGTTTGGTTTCCCTTCCTCTTGTATTTTGGGTAAGGATGAGTAATGATGAGACGAAGGTGCATGAGGCCACCAGTTTGCTGAACCTAAGTTGGTTTGGGTCAGATCAGTGCCTGGATAGGAGACCTCCCGGGAACCACATGTATGTTGTATTGAGTTCCATGATGGAAGAAAGATGGGATACATAAGAAAATGAAAATAATAAATATGGATGGGTGTGGGGCATGTTTCATTCATTGACTGAGGGCTTAGGTCGATCTAGTCCATATTGAATGGGAGTGCTTAAAAACAAAGGATGAGGGAGTTGGAATTTCATCAGAGAACTCACTTCTGAAAGTTGTGAGAAGGGTTTCACCAGACCTCTATTCTGACTGGCAATGGTTCTCCAAGGTCGGAGAGTTTTCCATGCCCTGTACCATAAAATCTTAATAACTGGAGGATGAACCTGGGACAATATGCACATGCAACACACAGTACTGGTGGGTGGGGCAGGGGACTACTTGGTTAGCTGACTTCCTAATGCCAGGACCACTGCTGGTTACTGCAAGGAAGAGGGTTAGGTTGGTGCAGTGTAGGAGCAGCGGGGGGGGGGGAGTGTCAAATTGTCTGTCTTCGTGCTTGTACTGCCCTGATGCTTCCTTCTCTCAGGAAGCCCATCATTTGGAAGCCAGGTAAGCAGCACAGTGCCACCCCACTCTGCTCCACTGACCACTAGTGGCAACTCATAGATTCTCTCACTGAACTGTGATGTAGCTCTCATCTGAACCATAGAGAAGCATGACTGGATTTCTTTATGGTGACATTTATTTGGAAAGAACAGGGACATGGAAGCCACGATCTGTGAAAGCAGCGTCCGTGGTGGAGAGTAAATGGTTACAGATGAAATCACCTACCCCTGGAGGAATATTGTGGTGCAATGCTTTCTCTAAGTTGTGCCATTTCAGACTACAGAGAAGAGGGTCATGTGTTTAGATGTGGGAGCAGCTTACTGGAGGAGGGTAAATGAATCTGCAGTCTTGTGGGAAGATGACAGAGACTGAATTGTAGTATTTCTGAATGTGCATTGTGGCTAGAAATCTTCTATTTCCCTATGAATTTACTTTATACTGCCTAAATCCCTTTCCTTTTGTAAGTCTTGGCTTCCATCTCTTTGCTTCTCTCCCTGCCCCATTCTTAAATGTAAACAGGAGGGACTCAGTGAGAGAGAGAGCCAGTCTCTGGGCTTGAATGGAGGGTCCATGCCATGGCTCAGTGGGAGGCCACATGTTTTGTATGCATCAAGTTCCAGATTCAGTTCCCCTGAATGCTTCCTCTCTCTCTCTCTCTCTCTCTCTCTCTCTCTCACACACACACACACACACACAGAAATAAAATCAGAGCACACATGGACCTCTGGATCAGAGCCAGACATTATCTGTCTGTGCTCCAACTCTGACTTTTTATTCATTTCACATGCACATATTTGATTTCCCTTCTTTCTGCTTTTTTGCTTTCAAAAGTAGATTTGGAAAACATAGCCTGCCACAACAGATCTCTTCCAAGCTGGAAATCTTGCCATTACTGTCTGGCATCTAAGCTGGAAGCATTAGCATTTCTGTATTCATCAACTTTTTAAAGAGCAAAGGCTCAAACAAATCCACAAAGTTCTTCTGAAACATCGCCAGTTAAATGAATCTGCGTCTTTCATCTGCAATCTTCATTAATAAAACCTCTCATGGTTCAAACTACACATGATGCTCAGAACGTCAAAAATAGTCAATACCTCCCCTGCCCTCTGTGATCTCCCACTCCAAACTGGCCACAAAAGATGGTGAGTTTTTGAATACACTTATTTCCCACATGAGTGGGCAAAGAATATCACATATCCCTTGTATAAAAGGCTACTTTGGATTTCAAAAACATTCATGTATGTAGTTTTGACTCACAGATGACCTTTCAAGAGCAGTTAGCTGGTACAGGAGCCAAAATGAAGTAGCCATTTGTGGTCTTCCAACTGTTATTGGACTTCAACTCCTATCAGCCCCAGCCAGAATGGGCCATTGTCATGGACAATGTGAGCTATATTCCAACAGCATCTGGAGGGCCCAGGATCCACACCTCAGGCAACAGACCTTGGGCAATAGCAAAACCTTGATAAGTGCTAAGGCAGTTGGAAAACCATGCACACTGATGGTGTGGCATAAATAACTAACCTAAAAGCAAAACTGGAGATTTAATGGATAAATGGCTATTATAGTGCTATAATAGGCTTTGAAAACTTTAACTTACTAACCAATCAACTTCCAGACTAATGAAAATGTTTATTGGCATATGCTTAACT